TGGATCTCTGTAAGTTCAAGGCCAATGTGGTCTACATAATGAGTTTCAGGATAGCCAAGGTTATGTTAAGAGGCCCTGTCAAAAGGATAAAGAAAGAAAGGAGAAAGAAAATTAGTTACATGCTCACACTGCCTCCACGTTACTTGTCTTTTGTAAAATGATGCTCACACGACACCAAACAGCATAATGTTCATGGACGCCGTTCGGATAAAAGTGAGTCGCTGTGATAATGAAAAGAGGGCTTTGATAATGCCTCTTACCCAGAGAGACTGGCAGGGGTGTGCATGATGCCAGTGCTTTGGCAACGGACAGTCCCTAGCTAGAATCCTGTCATTTGGGCAGGTTATTCCGACTCTGTAGGTGTTTTTAAGTTTGTAAAACACAAGGTTGTTGAAGCATGGAAAGACTAGTCATGAGGTGGCTGACATAAACTAATAAGTGGAAATCATCATTGTAGTTATCAGTTACTAAATCACAATACAGAGCCGTGAGGTTCAGAGGACCAAGGCTGATTGTCTGAGACAGACGTTCTGTGGAGAAACGAGCTGCCCAAGACACCGCACACCCTGCTCTTCTATACTCAATAGAAGCTAATTCTGCAAAAAATTATCTTCAAACACACCACATCTTGAGGAAAGGGGGACAAGTGTCTTTCTTCTCTTTAGACACCCTGCCTGAGTCTGCATCTTCTATGACCGTAGGAATTCAGTCACTATTAAGGAGATCAGGCCTTTCCTTTATATTTAAAGGCACCGAGATGGTTGTAATACCAGAAAATTATTTCTAATACTTTTAGCAGTAGATTTTTATGTGTTTTATTTTTTGACATTGGGTCTCCTGTATCCTTGGATGACCTTCACCCAACTGTGTAGCCAAGGACGACCTTGAAATTCTGACCATGGTGTTTCTGCTTCTCAAGTGATGGGATCACAGGTATGTGCCACTATGTTGAGTCTGGGCAGTGCTGAGGATCGAATCCATGCTAGGCAAGCATTCTACCGATTGAACTGCATCTCCAGTCCTATATATATCCGCTGGTGTGTATTTATACTGCTGCAGCTCTAACCCAGGGCCTTACACATTTTTGGCAACTGTCATACTAACTGAGATACATCCCCGGCCCTGCACTGAAGTTTTCTTTAGATTTATTTATGTCATTTTCTGTGTATAAGTAGTGTTTTGCTTGCATGTGTGTGCACTACATGCATGCCTGGAATCCACAGGGGTCAGAAGAAGGCACGGGATCCCCTGGAACCAGTACTACTGTGGAAGATTGTGAACCAAAGTTCTGGGAATGGAAACTTGTTACTCTGCAAGAACAACCAGTGTTCTTAACCTCCAGGTCTCCAGTACATACCCCTCATTTTTGTTTTAAACCAGATTTTCTTTTAAGTTTGTTTGTTTGTTTTGAGACAGGGTTTCACTAGGTATCCCTGGCTGTCCCAGAACTTGCTATGGGACTCAGGCTGGTCTCGAACTAACAGAGATTCACTTGTCTCTTTATCCCAAGAACTGGTATTAAAGGCATACACTACCGTGCCTGAATGCTTTTTTTGTTTTGTTTTGTTTTTTTGAGACAGGGTTTCTCTGTAGTTTTGGAGACTATCCTGGAACTCACTAGACCAGGTTGGCCTTGAACTCACAGAGCTCCATCTGCTTCTGCCTCCCGAGTGCTGGGATTAAAGGTGAGTGCCACCACCGCCCGGATGCCTGACTGCTTTTTAAAATAGTAATTTAAAAATGTTGTGTGTGGGTGTGCATGTCTGCATAGAGGTCAGAGGACAGTTTCTCAGAGCTGGTTCTGTCTCTCTACCATGTGAGTCCCGGGGACTAAACTCAGGCCCTCAGCTCGGTGACAAGGACTTTTACCTGCTCATCCATCTTGCCAGCTCAACTTTTGTTACTATGCAGAAAGTCCTAGCGCGCAATAATTCCTTACCATGCAGAGATTCTGCTCTCTTTCCCTGGGAATCACTAATATAAGTCACCAATTATCAATCTCATTCCACATAGGTTTTGCCCCCTTTGTGCTACGCATTGTTCTCAGTACCTTAGACACACCATCTCCTATCAGCCACATCCTCCCACTCTCATTTTAAATGTTATCTCCTCAAAGAAGCCTTCCTTGCTCCAAGCTGACCTTGTCTCCACCTTTCCATTATTCCCTATCATTTCATCCTGTTTATTTCCTTCGGAATACCGATCACTATACGCAGTTAGTTACTGATTTCACCACTCGTTTACCACTGTCCCTCCAGCCAGACTAAGAGCTTTGAGAGCAGGGTCCTTGTTGAGTTGGCTTTCCTCAGAAATATCTCAGAATATCCAGAAGCAGGGACAGTGGCTTGATTTGGCATGGAGGCAAGGTGAATTGATTATTTATTGAATAAGTGCATTAAAATAGCAGTATGAAGTATATTCTATTGTTTTCCCCACTCCTCTAATGAGGAAACTGAGAACTAGCAAGTCAAATGAACTCATGCTGAAGCTAGTAAGGTATAGAACTGGTTGAAAAATCCGGTTCTCCTTGACCTCAGGGTCCAAGTTATTTACTTCTCGGGCCCCAGAAACAAAAGACTGAACCGCCGCTGCTGTGTGTGCTCTTAGGTCTCTTTGTCTCTCTGGAACTCTCCTTTTCATTGGAAAATGAGAGGTGGAGTTAGACATCCTCTTTATAGCAATATTTTGTCATTTATGGTATCTATGACTGGGAAAACTGGCTTGAGGCCTTTAAGAGTGCTGATCTTGGGGCTGGGGAGATGGCTCAGCCATTAAGAGTGTGAACTGCTCTTGCAGAGACTCCAGGTTAAATAGTCAGTGTCGTATCACAGGCATGCTTCTTCAGGCACCTGTACTCATGAGCATGCATATACACGCACATAAACGTAACTATAAAATAAAATTTAAAAGACTACTGAGCCCAGAGGGGGTGATGCCTGCCTTTAGTCACATCTCTTAGGAGGCAGAGACAAGTGGATCTCTGAGTTCAAGGCCAGCCTGGTCTACAGAGCGAGTTCCAGGACAACCAGGGCTGCACAGGGAAACCAAAACAAAAAAGAATACTGATCTTCAGTACTCCCTGCCCCCTTTTCCTTTTCCTTCACTGAAGATTTGCTGATTGTGTGGGTTTTATTTTTCTTCCTAGACAAGGTTTCACAGTAGCTTTGGAGCCTGTCCTGGAACTAGCTCTTGTGGACCAGGCTGACCTCAAATTCACAGAGATCCACCTGACTCTGCCTCTGGAATGCTGGGAGTAAAGGTGAGCGCCACCACCGCCCGGCTGATGATTGTATTTTATGTGTTGATTGTCACAGGGATCCAAAGACTCGGAGAACATAGACCTTGGCATTACAGCTGCTGGAAGTCCTTTGGGGCCAATCCTGTGACAGTGCGGTACGTGAGGATCAGGGTGACACGGGGAGGGTGGGGTTAATTCCATCAGGTGTGTACATGTTGATTGTTGTGGCGATGAATATGGACTTGTGTGTGGGGGACGGGTGTAATGCCGACCTGGGCCTTAAGGAAAGAATAGTTCCCCAGACGGACAAGCCAAAGGTGAGGCTTCCTGGATGCGCAGAAAGAGCAAGAACAGCCCCCACTGTTAAGGCAAGGAGTTAGCTACCAGGCTAGTGGAGCAGAAGGAGCCCCCTTTTGCCTTCTACTCTTTCACTTAGAAAGCTCCCTGGCTGAGGTCTCGACAAGTGTGGTGAGGTAAAAGGTGTGAATGCCATTAGGAAGCTTGACAGTGCTCAGACAATTCACAAAGAAGACTTGGCCTTAAGGTGTTTGTGACATTTGGAGAGGAAGGAGATGGATTAGAGGCTTTTGAGGGAGGAACTACAGGACTTGGTGACTGAATGGCCGACAGAGACTAGGGACTTAGAATGGACCGGTGCCCAAGTATAAAGTGTTACCATTTAGAAATAGAGGGACTTTGGAGTCAGGTGGCAGAGGTACCACTGTTCTGTTTGGATAATCAGTTTGAAGTGTCACTTAAGAGAGCCAAGAGTCCAGCACCCACCTTCTCTTCACCCTGCAAGAGCTGTCCTAGCCCGAGTCAGTCATTCTTGGGCTAATTTCCCTGTGGGGGCCCTCTGGGAATCAAATTCTCAGAGTTAAACTCGCTTTTCTGAGCCTGACATCCATCCAGGATAACAGCAGCATATGGAAAACTTCCTGGGCCCCCACCGACGAACGCGTTGATTGTGGAAGACATGTTTGTATCAGACAGTGGCTTTTGCAAACACCAGATTACAGAGAAACCATTTCCATGGAGCCTTCTCTGGCCCTGACAGGCTCTGACTCTAAACTGGCTCCTAAGAGCTATCCCCCACCCCCTCCGCACACACATTTAAGGAGCGGATTTTTAAAAAGGAAATGGGGTTGTATAACGTGCAGCCTGGTTCCCCTTGACAACTGGAGAAAACCCTGAGTTTGAGAAGGCCGGACCCACTTCCACTCATTACCTCTGGAGACAAGACTTCTTGTGGCCCTAATCCTTGTAAAATGATGGGACTGGAATCATCTGTCTCAGCTCAAATATCCAGCGGCCACCAGGCGGTGGCAGGGTCGAGCAGGTGGACTCTTAGGGGGGCTGTTTCCAGGGTCCTCTTTAGGGAAGAAGACAGCCCTGGAGGCAAGCACTCCATCCCGGCCCTGGCTACTTCCCTCATAATTACAGCCTAGGGCTAAAGACAGGGGCACGCCCTGTGTCCTACACCCCTATTCCTGGGATGCTATCAGAAGCCTCTACGTTTCTCCACCCTCTCCTCGCGGCACTAAACCTCACGGTCATGCTTATAAATCCCAAGAGCAAAGGGTGGCACGATTCCTCCCGCGCCCCTGCGGGCTGAAGGCGGGCACTAAAGCAGTGCAGTTCCAAGCTTCCCCTGCAGAAGCCACGCTCCTGACTTGGTCCGGGGATAGAGGGGGCGCGAGAGAGCAAGTGGGCGGGCGTCCCATCCTCCGCATCCTCCTCCAAGTCCTGGCGCGCAGGGAGGGAGCGCTGCGCTGCGCCGGGCTGCGCATCGCGGCCCACTTGCCGCCTGTCCCTTGCCCTGGCTGGGCCACCTCCCCGGGCTGCCGGTGGAGGGCTTCGAGGCGCTAACGTTACGCTGTTTCCGGTTTTCCAGAGGGCTCTGTTTCCCCTCCCAAGGCGGCGGCGGCTGAGCGGCGGAGCCCCCCAAATGGCCTGGCCAGATGCGGCAGGTTTGCTGCTCAGCGCTGCCGCCGCCACTGGAGAAGGCTCGGTGCAGCATCTACAGCTACAGCTACAGCAGCAGCAGCAACAGCAGCAGCAGCAGAAGCAGCAGCAGCAACAGCAGAAGCAGCAGCAGCAGCGAGAGCGGCGGCAGCAACAGCAACAGCGGCAGCAGCATCTCCCGTCCCGCTGCGCCCCCAGAGCCGCGGCCGCAGCCGCAGCCGCAGCTCCGCAGCCCCGCAGCCCCGAGAGCCGCCGCCCGCTCGCGAGCCGCAGCCGCCGGCGGCATGAGGCGCGACCCGGCCCCCGGCTTCTCGATGCTGCTCTTCGGTGTGTCGCTCGCCTGCTACTCGCCCAGCCTCAAGTCGGTGCAGGACCAGGCGTACAAGGCACCCGTGGTGGTGGAGGGCAAGGTACAGGGACTGGCCCCGGCAGGCGGCTCCAGCTCTAACAGCACCCGCGAGCCGCCCGCCTCGGGTCGGGTGGCGCTGGTGAAGGTGCTGGACAAGTGGCCGCTCCGGAGCGGGGGGCTGCAGCGCGAGCAGGTGATCAGCGTGGGCTCCTGTGTGCCGCTCGAAAGGAACCAGCGCTACATCTTTTTCTTGGAGCCCACTGAGCAGCCCTTAGTTTTTAAGACGGCCTTTGCCCCGGTCGACCCTAACGGCAAAAACATCAAGAAAGAGGTGGGCAAGATCCTGTGCACTGACTGCGGTGAGTCGCCCCCTCCTTCTGCTGGAGAAAGGGGGGGAGGAGGGAGGTGGTGGAGGATGGGGGTGGGGCGGAGAGGTGCCGCAGGTGCCCAGGCCTGGCAGCGCTCGGCCGCCGGGGGGTGGGGCCGCCCCTGGATAGGGCGCCGGTCGCGGGTGGGTGAGGGTGTGGGCTTGGGGAGAAGGAGAATAAGGCTCAAAGTGTGTGCTAGGGGCGAGAGCTGGTGGGGAGGCGCTGGCCTGTGCCAACAGGGATCTGCGGCTGATGTATGGCATGTGGGGCTGGAAAGCTGCCATCATAGCCCAGTAGCGGAAGGGAAAACGGTGAGGTCCGGGCGGCGCTGGCCTGAGGCTCAGTGAGTCAGGAGTGACCCTCGGAAGCCTCGCTCGCTCCGCTCCCGGGGGCCTGCCTTGGCCAGGCTGGCAGGGTCTACAGGAGCAGCTGGGCAGACTCCCAGGCTGTGAAGGCCTCCGCTTACAAGTTCTCCTAGGGAATGATCGCCCCCGCCCCCTCCTTCCTCTCCCGGTTCGTTGCTCTGCTCATCCACACCGCTGGCGCAGGGAGAGTTGGACTTTTTCTGCTACTGTTTTCCGTTCTCCGTATGTCTCTGGGCTTTTTTTTTTTTTTGTCTTCGTCGTGCTTCGCCTGTTTTGCTAAGCGAGTAGTTTATCTGTCCCTTCTTAGCCCCCAGCACCAGCCAGCAGACACTCTTTTAGCAGTTTGTGAAGTGTCTTACCTGGTCCTGGTGGTGGTGAGGAGAGAGTAACTTGCTTTGGCTGAATGTTTGAAGTTCAGCTTGACACCTTCCTGGCGGTGTGTATTGACCGCGTTTATCTTCCCAATGTTGGGTGATGTACAGGAATGCTGGTGATTATAAAAGAAACACCAGCCTGCACATCTGTGCAGCCCCAGGGTGAAGGGCTCCCATTCGGAAGTCAAGAAATGACACTTTAACATCTTTGTCTTGTTGTCCCCAAGTCCCACTGATTTCTCAGTAAGACATTTCTTTAAAGGCTGACTCTGCAGCGTTTAGTGTAACCCAGGACTCTTGGATCCCTGAATTGTGATAGAGCTCCTGAACTCGCATAGAAGTGGGTGTATTTACCAGTTTATTGACTGAACCTGGGTAGCGTAGACAGGCTTGACTAGCAAAAAATAAAATAAAAAAAATATGTGTAACAGCTAGATGGAAAATCTGCTTTCATCTTTCTAGAGCAATCAATGCCTTTGGCTTTTGGAAGCTTCCCTCCCCCTACTCCTCTAAGAGGCAAATTTTAGACAGTTAGTTGTGGGAGTGTATCTAAGCACTGTGCCAAACCCTGATCACTTTAATGAGAAGAATCTTGCAAGTGTCTTAGCATGGAGAGAGAAGCTTGGGGAAGGACAGCAGTTTACAGTTTGGTTTTTGGTTATTATTCTAAGCAATATTATTGCCTGCTTTTTTTTTAAATTTGGGTTTATGCTCTGAAAAGTTTTATGATGACGACTTGAGATCAGCTAAGAATTTCTCTCTCTTCTCGTTTTTAATTCTATTAAGTACTTTATCTGAGGTCTCTTGGGGAATTGTGGAACTAACTGTATCTTGCAGTGGGAAGTAGATAGTAAAAACAGGTATTGAACCTTGTCCAAGGACAGCTTTTGTTGGTTGTTGATGAATTGCTCCTGAATTCATACAGTGTGCTCCTCCTCTTGATCCTTGCTTAGGGTCTGATAGCTATTGTCAATTATTATCACACAGGCTTCCCTGGCCTTTGTCTCCTTCCTTGCACCTTGGTTGTTTGCGTGAGCATTTAATAGTTACAACAGTTGAATAGCAAAGATCATGAAAGATTTGAAGTCATAAATATACTCTGCTTTAGACTAAGGGCATCTCGTATTATTTATGTGTAGTATAGTTCTTGCAGAGATAAATTTAGGACTGCAATCACTTGTAAAGGGAAGGCCCTCACACATCATAAATTATCGAGGAGCAGGAATGAGTATGGCAGTAAATATTTTAGAATACAAAAAATTATGCCTTGGATGATAGTGTACAGATAGGCATCAGAGGAGTTTTACATAAGAGGATGAGAAACTAAAGGGCGTTTTTGTGAGAGGAGGAGACTTTAGGAACTGGAGATAGTGTGGCAGAAGAATATAAGCTCTATTATCTTATTTTCTATTATGAGATTAAAGAAAACATGTGCTGTAATGGCATATTAAATGAGGAAACAGAATGAGCCTAACTAACCACAACACCTTCCTTGTGCTCAGCAGGAAATAGCTAACACATTCATTTTCTGTTTTCTATTCTAAAGAAAGCCCTGTGGGCCACAGGGTCATTGGGAACATTCTCTCCTTGGAGCAGATTTGCCCATTGCAAAATAGGGAAGCTGGCACTTGGAAGCTGTCATTGTGGCGGTTACATTGAGCAACTGGGGTTGAATTGTTACTTTGTTCAGTCACTTTCAGCTCTGAGCTGTTTGGGCTCCAGAGGTGTGGTTCCTGGGGAGGTGTTTGAAACTGTGTTTGGGGAGGGGATGTGGGGATGATGTGCTACCTTATGGAAGAATACTGTGCTTAAAAGCACACTTCTCAGTCACAGTCACATCGACCCAAGGATCATCCTGGATCCTTCCCAAAAGGTCCTCATCATGGTTGGGTGCAACTGTGGAGAGAGGCCTGAGAGTCTGTGATCTAAGGCAGAGGGTAACTAGGGGTCTGTCTGGAAAAGCAATGCCTAACCAAAGGGGCATCTTTTATAGATTCAATGTATAGCATTAATCAAAACGACTACCTCTAGTGGTAAAGAGTAAAATCTTTGCATTTCTAAGAAATTTGCCTATATGGGTATGTTTCTGAGCCTTCTGTGGAAAGGGGAGGTAGAACTACAAAGGCCTTATAGGGACAGTGTGACACTGTGCCACGCCACAAGTGTGTCCTGTTCTTTACACAGTTCTCTGCTGTAAGAGGGGCTCACACGTTATTTGGTGTAGTTACACCCCGTCTTGTTACTTTCTCGGATATATGTTTTAAAGCCATTTCCTAATTGAATATGTTCAGGAGGCAGCAGAAAAGAAGACAGCGGCCTCTTTTGGGACTTGCTGACTTGTGGTCCTCCAGTGTGAGGTGTGCTTCTGGGGACTTGGAAACCAATCTGGCAACCAGATTCACGTATTAGAGGAAGGTGGCTCACAGAACTCAGTATAGCAAAAGTGGTCGCATATTTTTAAAGTGATGTTTATTTGTAGAATCTTTTCTTTCCCAGCCAGCTGGGGAGCCAGCTGTGCTACAGCTAGAAGATGGGAAAGTGAAACCAGATTAGACACTGACCAGTGCCAGGGGCTTGGTTATAGGTTCAGGGACCGAATTGCCACCCTAATGCCATTATTTCTTGGGTGGTTGCTTTCCTCTGCAGAGAGCAATTTGTGGAACAGAAATAGCATCTTCTTTGTCCTCCTCACTGCCCCTGGCAGTGTTTGGTACTACGTCTAGTTTAGATACTCTTTTATGTGGATGAAACTCATAAAAGAAGCTTCCAGATTCATGTTGAAACAATCTCAACTTTCTGATCTGTGGCACCAAGTTCTATGCAGAGGGGAGCAACTGAGTCTGTCATTAGTCTTTACGCGTCACCATGGAAACCCATTTTCTTTCCTTATTTCCTCCCCCCCCCCCCCCCCCCCCCCCCCCCCCCCCCCCCCCCCCCCCCGGAGGCCTTATCAATTAGAGAACTTGGTGACCCTAGGCTTAATCACTGTGCTGCTGATTGCTAAAGTGACCTAAGAGGCGGGGAAGAAAGGTCCTGCTGGAGAAGAAGCTTCGTGGGGGTAGGACGAGGTAGGCTGCCACACCCCCTCCCAAATTTAAATGCAAATGAAAGAGCTACTTGATTAGCAAATGTTTTGGGATCTTTCCAGTTTACGGTCTAAATGACTAACTTCCTTGTAGCTCCGTCAAGGCATCTGCAGCCGTCTTGCCAGCCTTCATTAACCAGGGCTTTGTAACTGTATTCTCTAGTAACAGCTTGTTGTTAAAATGAAGCTACACTTATGCTCTTTGTATAAGAAACATATTTTTATGTCTCAAAATTCAGCAAGTACATCAGACTATAGAGTGTAAGTTTTCCCTTGTCATGCCCCCAGCTACCCTGCCCTAAACAATTGTAAACATTGCTTCGTTTTGAAATGTGTCTTTCTCTAAAAAGCAGTTTTCGTAGTGTTTAATTGTTTTTTTTTAAAGTAGATAGAGACTGTTAACTTTGCCATTAAGACAATTTTTTTAAATTTTTATGATTTATTTATCTTAATTTATATGCGTTGGTGTGAAGGTGTCAGATCCCTTGGAACTGGATTTTCAGACAGTTGTGAGCTGCCATGTGGGTGCTGGGAATTGAATCCGGGTCCTCTGGAAGAACGGTCAGTGCTCTTAACTGCTGAGCTATTTCTGCAGCCCACATTAAGACAATTTTATGGTAAATTCTTCCCAGGTTACAACCCAAGATCTTAACTACCCGGGTCCTGCTATTTTCTGAGTCCTCTTCTATGTCAAGTCATCTAGTCAAAGATCTTTCTTTTCCAGTTTACCCACATCTTACCTAGCAAATACAGTCCTGGGATAAGACACTAAAATCTCAACTCAGTTTTCAGATACTTTGCAGTTAAAACATTCCACGGCCAGGCGTGGTGACACCAGCTTCAGTCCTAGCATGGTGCCTCCCAGCCAAGGATACATAGTATGCTGTTTAAGAAACAATATATGTGTGTGTGTGTATATACTTATATATGTATCTATAGATGTATCCATATATACAGATTCTCCATGACAGTGGATTTTGTGGGTCTTCACTGGGATGCTGAAGAGAGCCACCAAAAGACTTGTCTGTGGAAGTGAGGGCTGAGTCTTTTTGTCCATACCTCAGGAGAGTCCCTATGTGAGGAATCTCAAGATTCCATGTCTGTGCAGAATTTGACCATGCTTGTATGTTGATGATGCTAGAGGGACTTGGTTACCTGAGAACTGTT